AACGTATTTTCAATGCAACACGTCAGCTTGTCATTACGTCAATTGTCCTACTGAGACTTTCCCTCCTGTTAATGAGTTTACTTGCGTTTCTTCTGCGTCATGCGAACATCACACCTCGAGTGACGCACAGCTTCCTTGTGATGACAATACCAAACAACAGCCGCTTTGTATGATTAATTCTGAATTGGATTCATCAATTTTGTCAGACTTTTTGGATCATTCTAATTTTGATAATCCAAATTCCACTGTTCCTCATTCTGATAACATGCGGCACCTTTCTTTTGAAGAATATTATAATGAAGTTGTTACGGCCTTAGATCTGGACACGCCTAAATACGCACATGTTCCTTCAGAGATTATGCTCAGATTTAAAGCTCTCCTGCGAAGTAATTTGCATGCATTTTACCTCCCTGATACTCCTTTTACTTCCATCACAGGATTTACTCATTCTATTAATACTGGCTCTTCGCCCCCAGTTTATCGTTTGCCTTATCGGAAAAGTCCAGCCGAACTCAAAGCTATTAAATCTGAGATAGAACGTATGGTTCAATTACAGATTATCCGTCCTAGTAAGTCTGCTTGGGGTGCTCCCGTTATTTTAGTGCGTAAACCTTTAGAAAAAGGAAAACCACAGCCACCCCGCTTTGTTGTTGATTATCGTGGATTAAATAACGTGACACATGGTGATGGTTACCCCATTCCTTCAGTGTCCAATATTTTAGATGCTATAAGTGGTGGTCAATATTTTGCAAAGCTTGATTTAGCTAGCGGTTACTGGCAAGTCAATTTAGCAGAAAAGGACATTGAGAAAACTGCCTTTGCCACTCACTTAGGTTTGTGGGAATTTTTACGTATGCCTTTTGGTTTGAAAACCGCTCCGCAAACTTTCCAACGAATTTTGAACACAGTTTTCTCCGAATTTCTTTACCAATGGCTTATTATTTATATCGACGACTGTATCATCTGGTCTTCCGATTTTGAATCTGCTCTTGAGCACTATGAAAAGCTTTTTGCTCAAGCTACTACATTTGGTATACAATTTAAGCCATCCAAATGTGCCTTTTTCTCTACAGATTTACAGGTTTTAGGCCATCGTATTACTCCTAATGGTCGCTTTCCAACCCAAAAGGGTACTGAAGCCATTGTCAATTTGCCTAGACCTACTAATGCCTCGGGAGTCAAACGTTTTCTTGGAATCCTAGGATATTTTCGAGAATATATTCCTAACATGTCATGTAGAAGTGTTTACCTTCGCTCGCTATTGTCTAAGAGTACCTCGTTTTCATGGTCTGTCCAACACGAGGCTGAATTTCAAGATCTCAAATCTGCACTTCTTTCATCCGACATTATGCTTTACCATCCAAATTGGAATGAACCTTTTGAAGTGCATACGGACGCTAGTAAAAAGGGATGTGGTGCAATGCTTGCACAACATAACCAAGGTAGACTTAGGCCAGTTCGCTTTGCTTCTCGCTCATTTAGCACTACAGAATCACGCTGGCCTACTGCCCATCAAGAGCTTTTCGCAGTTAAATGGGCCTTAGAAACATTTCGACATTACTTGATCGGACAAAAATTTAAAGTTGTTACCGATCATGCCAATTTGAAGTTTTTATCTTCCTTGGCACCTCAAAACTCTAAGCTCGCACGCTGGTGTCTCTCTTTAGCCGAGTTTGATTTTATCATCGAACACCGTCCGGGAAAGGAAAATTTAGTTCCGGATGCTCTTAGTAGAGCCCCTTTGCCACTCGAATGTGCCACATATTCGGAAATTATTCCTCCACCTAACGTTGCTAGTTTTATTCAAGCTAATTTTGCTCTGGATCTTCTTACATTCACCCCTGCTTCACTGTATTCCTTGTGCAGTGATGCTTTTCATTGTTTGACTTTAGCCTGCAATATTCCCTCTTCAGATCATTCTCAATGTAAAGGCACATCTGGCAATTCTCAATCGCTCTTGCATCCTCCAGAAAGTACTTCCTACCTTTCTGCTTTGCCAGTTTCTCCCCAGACTCCGTCTTCCTCAGCTTGGAATGTCGATTTTGATGTTTTACGACCACTCAATGTTGATCGGTTTACTTTTGCAGCTACACAGCGTAAAGACAAATGGTTAGGTCCATTAATGCTGTTCTTAGAATCTGATTGTTCAGAAACAGTTCTTCCAACCATTGATACTAAAGTTAAGCGTTGGCTTTTAGCACTTCATAAGCGTGCTTCTTTAATTGATGGCATTCTTTATTATTCGGATGAATTCATGTCAGATTCATTCCATTTTCGTGTTTTTGTGCCTTCGGATATTGCTTTACAACGTCATTTGCTCCAGGCTTATCACGACAGCCCTATCGGAATGCATCGTGGTCGTGATGCCACTTATAACGCCATATCTAAGGATTTCTATTGGCGCAATATGTCTAAACATGTTCGAAATTGGATTCGTCGTTGCCCTCATTGCATTCGCTTTAAGACCTTAAACCAACCCCATGGTCCTATGCAAATTCGTATATACCAGTACCCTTTTCACACCTTGGGTATAGATTACGTGGGTGAACTTCCCACATCACCTTCTGGTAATAAATGGCTTTTAACCATTCTTTGCCCTTTTTCCAACTTTCTTCGTGCCATTGCAGTACCAGATAAGAGTGCCACGACTACTGCTCGTGCCTTATTGACAGAAGTCTTTCTGCCTTTTGGCTTTCCATCTGTCCTTCAGAGTGACCGTGGTGGTGAATTTCTAAATGCTATTTTACATCGCATTACCGCATTGCTTTCTATCAAACAGGTCTTTACTTCTGGATATCGTCCTAGATTAAATGGTTCTACTGAACGTGTCCACCGATTCCTTAATAGTGCCTTAGGTATCTATTGTGAAAAAGCTCAACATCTTTGGGAAGATTATCTTCAACCTGCCGTCTATGCACATAATACATCGCCAATTTCAGGTACCTCAGATATCACGCCATTTTTCCTAGTATTTGGTCGTGATGCCCCATCCCCTGAACTTATCTCCTTAGATCTGCCAGCAACACCTTTACCTGCTGATCATTATGCTCGTCATCTTGTTTCTCGTATAAAAGATGCTCATTCTCAGTTCAAATCTATTAAAGCTGATTTACGTCGCCATCAGCGCGAAATTTATGATGCTGACTCTCGTCATATTTCCATTCCCGAAGGAAAAATAGTTTACATGCGCAAAGATCTTTCATCTAACGACATTGGTCAATCCACCCGCTTTTTGCGCCGTTTTGATGGCCCTTTTATTGTCACTGGTCATCCTTATAATCGTTCTGATTTACTCAATCTGCGCCCTTTTCCTTCTGGTCAACCTCTGCCACGACCTGTCAACATAGAAAAACTAGTAGTCGTGCCTGATCCAGAACGCCATGATTTGCGTTTACCTGAAGACGCACTAGTTGAATCGGAAACTTCTTCATCATCAGGTTCTCACGTTCCCATCGATCCTGATCTCGCCACCATTGCATACGAATTTGGTAAATACTTATCTTCTCTACCTTCCAAATCTGCCATTTCTTCTCAAGCTTGTAAGCATGTGTACACCCATTACCCTTCCGCTAGGGAAATCCTTGCTCGACATGGTCGCTTACGTGGGTTAGTTAACTCGTGCCCCTACCTCCAACTAGATGGTGCTTTACATGGTGGTACATACATTATTTCTGTAAATATGGAGTTATTCTCTAAGATATCGTAATCCATTTAACTTAGTGTGTATCCTTACCTTATTTATGATCTTTTTATCTAATTATTCTAACTCTTTAAACAAAAAAAATTGCATTTTTTTTATTTAGAAAGGGGTGACTGTAGTAGGATTAATACTTTGTTTATCACTCTATTGTTGTAATTGCACATGCGCACTGTAAATAGTATAAAAGTCTTGTTGTTGTAATTAAGAAGAGAGTTGTTGAGTTGCAGAAGAATGATTATCTTGTAATGATATTTGCGTGTTGATATTATGGTGAAAATTACAAAGTTGAGTTTCCCTTAGTGTGAAACTAAATATAACATAAAGCTCTACCACATGTAGGGGGGGGGGGGGTGACAACCCCTATACTTAATGAGCTAGTCGGTAAATCTTCAGCTGGTCCACAAAATCCTTACTTTGTCGGTCAAATCGTCTATCGGTAGGTTAAATAGCGTTTGATGAGTCGAACAGGATACAGATCGGGGGTAGTGGCTGGGAAAAAGAGGCCAAGGGGGCTATACCTGCTTAAAGCACTTGATCAGTCGAAAAATTCCAACATTTTACTACTTTGTTGGAGCTGCATCCCTGTCTTCTCAAGACATGGGCTCCGACAAAGGTTGAAAAGTGGGGGGGGGGGCAATGGAAAAATTTAGCAACCACAACAAAAGATTTTGGAAAAAATTACTTTTGCAAAAAAGTGGGGGGCAAGGCTTCCCCTTCGTCGGAGGCCCTGCAAGACGATGATTACTTCAGCTGGACTTCAAAAGCGGCGTGCGTTTTATGTGGTAGACGGGGTGCTTAGGGGGTCGAGTCCCCCCTTATGAAAATTTTTTTTATTTTTCTATTGTCATTATTTTTACCTTGTCTCCTATACTTTTTATCTTACCATTTTTTACTCAAAGTTCACCTATCTACTTCTATGCGAGGAAACTTACACACTTTTTTATAGAATAAAGTATATATGAATATTGAGGCTCAAAATTGCTAAAATTTAAGAATAATTTGAGAATTTTCTCACAAAGCAAAACAACTGTCACTTTGATATTTATGATGAATCAACACATCAAAAAAGATTTAATATTTTTTTATCTTAAGGCCAATTTACACCTTGTGTTCGGCAAGAATAATTTATGAATAATCTTAGGCCCAAAATCGAAAATTTTTGAGAATATTGAGGCTAGGCAAAAAATTAGGTATTCTTATAAAAAAGTGTGTATCCATATTATACACTGTCAGAAAGGCTTCAAAATTCGTCAAGTCTGCCCGCAGGCTAGAAAGGCCTAGTGTTTAATCAGTAACTCACATTTCCAGGAACTCCTCTATGATCTGTGCTGCCCTGCCAAAATCTTCTCATAAACCCAGTAATATAACCAGTGATCTTTCTTGAATATGGGAAATTCGTCTTCCAAATGAGCGAACCGTATCCAAAGATCCATATCGAGTCTGCATTTTCCGGTTGGCATGTTGCATCAGTCTGGACGTTATTAGTTGAGTCCCAAGTATCGGGTTCGTCTGTCGGCGGCATGGTATAATTTCTACTGAGACGCCTTCCAAATGAACCAGGCAGGTGACTCCACCTTATGACAACCGTTCTTGCTTTCAGTTCGTTACAAGGCCGACCAACTTCAAGTGCATCACAAACCCACGAGAGCCTTTGCAGATCACGAAGTAGTCTCCGATGGCTCCATGAACAAAACCATACTATTGTCATAAAAGAAGAATCGAACAGAGAATCGAACAATCAATGAAAACCTTCGTGTTTTCAACCACTACTTTCTGTGGTCCGAAACGTTGAATTGGATTGTTTACAGAGCAAAGATCAGCAAGATAGGCTACCTGCTGTCGTCACGTGGTAGTCACATGTTTCAAGGGTCCATTGAACAAGACAAGCATGTACACAAGGATTCCTGGGGAAATTTGCTCTAAGTTCGCACATGCTAAAAACATGCTTTATCATAAATTAATTTACTAACTCGGGAATGAATCACCAATGCAATATAAAGGGCATAAAGCTCCCTCAGAAAAACTGCCATAGACATCAGAAGGTCAGTCATGAGGCTACGTTCCCACATCATCGAAAGCGAGTTGGGCCTTAGCAAAATTTGTACATCAGTGAAAGAAGAGTTTATTTGCCATCTATAACGAGGTTTTCGTTTATAGTATCAAAACTTTTTGAAGAACAGATTTGATGGCAAAGAATTTGATGGGCTGAATGCAGTTAAGAACTTTCTGTGAGTAAGAGAGACTTGAGAAAGCTTCACCCAGCTTTTGTCCCGGACAAAATATTTCATTCAATCATGCATTAAATTTTGAGAAATAAACGACTAAGATCGCAGAGACTGGAGACTTGTTCTCAGAGGAATTCTACCAGACAAGACAATGGCTCGGATTCTCGCAGCAAACCATAATTCTGTCGATGTAGAGAGGCTGATTCCCACCTACAACAAGATAGAAGCAGGTGGGGATGCAGCATAGCTCCAGAAAAACTTAATGAATAGATAAATATTGCAATGAATACGCTCGATCTCGCAAGTTTCGAGTTCTGAGAAAAGCTGCAAAGATATGGCTCTAAAAAACCAAAATATACCAAAGTCTGGGAAGCAAGGCTGATTTAAGGGAGTTTTTGAAGTTGAAAGGAAATAAAAAATAACCTTGACAGAGATCCGAACAAACCATGTAAAAGAGTTTCCTTTCGATAACTTTTGCTCACATATCAAGACATTGCTATATGTAGTTAATTCTTATTAACCCAATCCATTTATTGTAAAGAATGAACTTTTGCTACTTATACTTCATTCACTTAAGAATTTGCCCAATTAGGACATGCTATTTGCACTATGATGGCAGTTTCTATATTTGCTACCCCCGTGATGCCAATCCCAGCAAAGTACCACCTCCCTTTACTTGAAAGTAGAGGTCTGGAGCACAGGCTAGATATTTTGCTTATCTAAAAATCGCTGCAATTTATCGAGCTTTTCAGATCTTTCTCTGAAAATATATAGGGAGGGGTGTGGAGGTGGAGGGAGGTGGAGGGGTGTGGAGGTGGAGGGAGGTGGAGGGGTGTGGAGGTGGAGGGAGGTGGAGGGGTGTGGAGGTGGAGGGAGGTGGAGGGGGGTGGAGGTGGAGGGAGGTGGAGACACCAGGCGCACGAAAAAATAATTAAAGGCAGAAACGAAAACCACATCACACCAAATATTTTTCAATAAAATCAAATGAAGGCCTAACATTAATACGATTAAAATATATTTGTGTTCATTTTGCAACAATACTTTTGATACCACTCCGTACTTTTGAATTGACAAAAAGGACTAATATCAGGATATAAAATTTTCACCTGATTACAAGCAAAATAACTGAAAACAATGCGAATCCTAAATTAGTTAAACTGATATTCCACATTATTCGCATAGTAGCTTGTACATTATTATATCTTTTTACCATGAAGCAATCTTCCTAGGATACGGCAGTAAAATTGTATAAGATATTAAATATAATAATTGGGTTTTATTTTGTATGACTTGTAATTATGTCTAAGATATATAAATACATTTTAATGAAAAAGGACACTAACATTGGTTATTCTTAGGTGAATATCAGTTAAGTATCTTCCATTTCTGTTTTTGTTTAGAAAACATATATCTTTTAAAGGTATTCTGTTTCGTGAAAAAATATCTATAGACAATGGACTGGGAAATCTGTGAGGAATTTGCTAGAATATAGAATACTTCATATAGTAGCGCAGTGAGGGGAAGGCGAGAGGGGGCGAAGCCATTTCCCCAATGGCAAGAAATTAAGGACCGAGATATCAGGAGGCCGGGGGGGGGGGGGCTTGGCCTTCCAAAAAAACCTTGAGTAGAATAAGTAAAATACTTTTATTTTGTAAAATATGTCTGTTGTTAGACGTATTTATCAGGACTGCCCCCCCCTAAAAAAAAATTGTATCTCGGTCTTGGCAAGAAATATCTTTGAAAAGGGCGTTATCTGACGTTCAAAAGGGTATGGACCCCAATCTAACCACCGCCGCTGACTTCATGATGTATATATGTGGCTTCATGCTACGACCTGACAACAGAAAGCAAAAGAAATGGAAATCAGGTTAGGAGCCAGGAAGGTCTAGGTACCTGGACACCAAAACAACATTTCACGCTCCTCGGCGTGAAACCGGAGTAGCAACTTAGAACCGTCCTGTTCTTTACACCAAAAGCGTGCACAACTTTATGGCAGACATGTAACCAGTAACTTTCATTATATTGAATTCGCTATAAAATATTTCCCTAAATGTTCGAGATCTTTCTCTTTCTAAATGACTTGTAAGAGCTTTTTCTTGAACTTCAAATTTGATTTCATGGAACTTTTAACAAAAAATCAGAATGTGAGTTTCTTAAGAATGCATGTTTCTTTGTTTGGGAAGGTTCAATGGAAATGACAAAATACATCACCCAAATCTTACAGAAACCGTCCTTGCGACAACGAGGGAGCTGAGAAGTTTGAAATTTGATTATGTTCTACCACGCAAAATCTAAGGATTCTTTTCTCGAATCAAATAACATCCTATGCGACCTGTCAGGCCATTTCAAAAATTAAACTAATTCTACTTATATAGTTACATAAAATGAAAATATTGTAAGAAAATTAAGTAAATTCATAAACCCCTTAGCTTACTTTCTTAGAAAAACTGCTGTATGTAATAAACCATTAAAATAAGTTGTTGATATCATAACTTAGCGTGAACATGTCAAGTGCAGGGTCTGCTACTTCCACTATAAGTGATTCAGCTGTTTAAAGTTAAAGAGAAGAAAATGAAGAAGACAAAGAATTAAAAGAAGGAGAAAACGAGAAGAAAAAGAGAAGAAAATATAAGAAGAAGAAAGATTAAACTAAAAAATTAAAAAAATTAAAGATAAAGTTTACGGAACATTGTTAAATTTTGAAAAGTATTAGAAGAAGATAGAACAACCAGGGAAAAGGATAAGATAGAAAAAAGAGGATATGTTACGATAAGAAGGTTGAAGAATGATAAGAAGAATAAGAAGGAAGACAAGAGAGATAGAATAAGGGGGAAATGAAAAGATTGGAAAATAATAGGGAAAAAAGACGAAAGAAGAATGCGGCAGAGAATGGCAAACAAGAGAAATTCCTAAAAATTATAAAAACAAATATACATGTGTAAAAAAGGGTCAATTAAGTATGTTTTTATCAGGTTCAGGTAAATTGTTATGAAATTAATGCATCATACAGTTTAACACGAGTAAGCATGAAACTCTAGGCAGTTTTCGATTTTCTGAGATAGGGTAAAACATAATTAAATTTTCTAAGATCTACGCTAATTAACAACAAATGATAAATATTTCTAGCTCACGTGATGCGCATAATCTGCATAATTTAAATATTGTGTCATCAAATCCACTCTGATAAAAGCACACAATGCTACACACCTTATTTCATAATTCAGTTGTATTAATGTTAATGCTCCACTTAGGTGTGATCGATTTAATGAATTTAGTAGCGAATAACTAATGTATTTTGTAATGATTAATTAAATTTATTTAGTATATTAACGTCTATTGTTAATATAACTTAATGCTAAAATATGTAGAATTAGCAATGAAACAATTGCAAACCAATCTTTTAGAGCTAATCCACCTGAAGCCATTTGGTAATCCTTGAGGCGACTCATGTCCATTCTCAGCGCTGACAAATGCCGTTGAACCTCTTGCTGAGAATGAATGAGAGGTTTTATTTGCTCCTCCACAGAAAGATGTGTATCTGTCGAGACATGAAGATGGGACCTGGTGTCTGAATCGTCCTCACTGCTACCTGGCAAATTTTCATGACTTGACCTTTAAAAAGACACAACACATTTATGAAGAGATGCGGTAGATAAGCGTTTTAGCACTATCAATGCCAAGATCAGGGAAGGACAGCTATGAAGGGGGAGGGGAGAAATCTTTCTAATATTGTTGCCCTACAGTTAACTAGAAAAAGTGATTTTCCACTGACCTGCGGAACAAACAAACTTCTACGAGGGAAGTGGGTTCTGTTGCTATCGTTGATCATTTCAAACATTTCTCGTTTTCAAAATATAAGTTGATGTTAAAACCAGAGTCAATACCTGTCCAGATCTCCTTGACAAGAGATGTCTCGTTTTGGTACAAAATCATCACGACGAGGCTCCACTATGCTTGGTAATCTGTTGGAAACAGACGGCCGAAGAGTTGAAGATTTGACGTTAGGAATGCTGGCACATCGCTTGAACACTGGAGCCACGTGTCGATTGACTGTTTTGATGATACACTTGTGTTCGTATTGACTGAGATCTGTGCCTTGATCCCAGGGTCGTAGACTAGCAAAAAGAAAAGATATGGCAATCAATCATTTAGACAAGGCTTTAGTGTTGCAAAGAAAGATAATGAGTACAAATGAAGCTGTTTGGCTCTGGAAGAATTACTTCGAATAACGAAAAACATACTCGTTGTATTTGTATATCCAAGTATGAGGACTATCTGCCAGGGGGTCACGCTCAAAGAATCTTGGTTTCCAATCTTCAGCCTTTTCTTTCAGTTCTTTGTGTAAGGCGCGTTGGTTGTCTTCCAAAACTAACTTTTCTCTTGTTGCCGATTCCTGGTTGTGAAAGGAAACAAGGAACAGGCTGTGTTAGTAACGGAGTCAGTATAAATTGAGTGGAAAAGGCTATAGGAGACTTATTTCATTACGAGGCAAGTGGTAGGGGCCCATAGCCTCTTGTTTTCGTGATTCTGTACGAATTCCAACAAAGCAGCGAAATTTGCAATCTTTTCTGACAAATCTGGCGGCACGAGGGGCTTGTAACCAATGTCACTTCACCTCTGATGCAAACGTAGCCACGGTATGGAGGGTTCATCATAAATGCAAACATTACGCACGGGTTGTGTAATGAAGAATTATACGAAACGAGCACTCCAAAACCAACCTGATCTTGTGTTTTGATAGCTTCTGTGACCTTCGCCCAAAGTTTCTCTGATTCAAAATCTTCCTGATTCTTCGCATCGACTGTGAAACGTTTAAGTCGGTCTTTCTTCGCTTCTACAGGGTCGAAAAATATCTCTGCCAAAGGTTCATCATCCTGTTGACAAGAACCAGCAAGCACGTGCAAACCACATATATTCAATCACAAGAAAGGAAAAAGATTGTCGGGCTTATCATTATAATAACATCGCTTGTCTAGGCCTTTAAACGTTATATTTTTCTCCAAAACGTCACCGTTTAACTTGGTTTTTTATCTGAAATGCCAGGGCTTTTGATAAACATGTTTTGTATACTTGTAGTTGATAAACAACCAGATTCACAGGGTACCTTCCTTGCTCCTTCAATCAAATGCCTGTGACAAAATTTAAAATCAAATCACAAGGTACCGCACATGTTTTATGTTACAAAGTTACGCAGATCTTTTGCAAATGAGCCTCGCTATCAATGTCCTTACACGTTGTGAATAGCACAGGGTAGCTGTGCTGCACATGCGCGAAAAAAGCCACATGGTGTTTTAAGGTCTTCTTTCCTAGAATACGCAAAGTACCTCAAAGTATATAAACTGCACCTTAAAGTAAATAAATTTTCAAATAATACAGCTCTACCAAATCACCAGGGAAGCGAAGTAGATGCAATTGTTAATGTTTATGTATACAAGAACGACCGTTTTCAATTAAAGAAGAAGTCCCACAGGCTCGGCAGCTTTTGATCAATTAAGCAATACAGAATATTGGTAATTAAAAATCTTTTTCGCAAACCTGCGAATCTCTTTGAGAATATTCTGTAATGAAGATTTCTGCATCCTGTGAAAAACATAAAATAAGCTGATTTGTCAAAGAAAAAACGTGAATATTTTTCAAATCTTTAAGTGAAAGTCAGAACACTAAGACATAGAAATTAGTCGTGAAATAAATGACCAAACTGCAAATATCTTGAGTAACTTACCCATTTTCCTTCAATTTTAGATAATACATCTTTGCTCATTTTAATTTTGCCACTAATCTTGTTACTCTGTGCACTTTTGTTCCAAAATGGCTAAAAAAATTAAAACTAAGCATTTAGAATAGAAGCATTGAGAATTCGTTTGTAATATTTTCGAAACCTGAGCATGATAGGGGTAACTAAAAAAATGATTTAACAATAATGTTTAGGAATTAATATAAATACAGTAAAAATATCTTTGAAAATACAATGTGCATTTTATTGGAAAATGCTTTAATTATGTTATCCGGGAGTCCTACTTCAGGCTAATAGCATTTTTTATTGTGCATCTGTGGCAAAGGCGAAACAGAGTCAGGTTGCAGAGAAGGGGAGGCTACTCGTTGATAATACGATGAAAATTACTGACAAAAGCCTTGATTTGCAATAGATAAGCTATTTTAACCAATTTACGTGGCAATATGGACTAAAACATGACTCCAAAAAAAAAGAATCGTGGGACTTTTGGAATGCGATTTGCCATGGCAACATGACGTTGTCACAATCAACTTACGACATTTCCGGCTATACATAAACCCTTCAAGAATATTTTGCTTACAGAGAGAGAATCAGGTACCTAAATCGACATTGAAACTAGATGTTCATTGTTGGGACTCATTGGTTCCAAATTATGATTTGCAGTATCTGAATGTATGGGTTGGCTTGTAGATAAGGCAAACAGTTCAAGCTAAATCCAGAACACAATCTTTTTATTTATCTTACCTTCAATTTGAACTCGATTTCTGCACTATACCCAGTTTTTTCACATTTTATCACCACCTTTCCACCCATCTCGGCTGTTAACGTTCCAAGCAGTATTCCTGTGGTGAACAGAAATAATAAACGGTAAAAAGCAATAATCGAAAACTAAGCTCTAGTTTATGCTAAAGAGACAATAATTTAATAATGCCAGACAGAAATTAAGTTACTTGTGTCCACCTTAAGTGTAAGGATACCTTAAGCCTAACACAGATGATGTTGCCAACACCAGTCATAAAGAAGTTATAAAAACATATCAAACAATCTTTTGGTGGTACAAAACTTGTAAATAGCTTTGAAAAAAAGCAAACATTTAGTAAACTAAAACTTTTCGTCTGAAACTCTTCAGAGTTTAAAACGTCAGAACATAGATCGAAAACTCTACGCTAAGAAAAACATATCAAAGAGAATCACGATTCTGGTAATTAAGGGACCTTGAAGCAGCACCATAAGGAGGCTCGCCTACCTTTGATGTGAGCATATGGCATATTTACGACATAATCTTCGCCAAGTCGCAAAAGCGTAACTGTTGCAGTTCCATCCAAAATGGCGGAAGAAGAATTCCCTGAAACGAATCCCAAACAATAGGGTTTAAATACAAGTAAAAACAGAAATAAAGGGATGAAAACTGGTAAGATAACCCGAACAGGGAAACCTGTTCAGCAACTAATAAAATCAACTTTCTTTTCTTTTATTCTTTTTGGCATTTTGAAACACTGAGCCTTTTAAAAAATACTACATCTTTTAAAATGGCGTCTTTGTAACTAAATGTTGTTACAAAAAGAAAATGCGATGAAAATCATGGAAATTATAATAATTCTTATAACTTACCACACAATTGATTTCATTAAATGAATATGCGATAAACCCACAATCCAGGACAGATAGAGGTGTGGTTTTTGAAAATTGAAAACAGGCCCAAAGCTTGAACGATGGAAGAAGCTGAAGGTCGGTTGTCACTACTCATTCTAAGTAAAACTACTCACTAAATAGCAACGCATTCACAGAGTACTTGAAATAAGTATTTAAAACTTGCGCACGCTCAAAGCTGTGCTCGTTATTCGTGCAGCCAAGCCAATCATGGAAAAATCATGGAAGAATTATGGGGAATATCTCTGAGTCTCTATCTACGCTACCTGTAATTAAAGAACAGTGGAAATGCTTCTCTGTTTCATCTGGTTCAGAAGTGAAAATATTTATACTTGAATTTTGATGCAGCCCTTTCAACTCACCGTAAAATTTTGACTTTGCAAGAATAGATCCGTAAGTGACGTAGCCATCTTTCCTGTTCGAACAATAGAATGCGGAGACAGGAGGATGATGGGACACTTGCTCCGCGATGAAAAATGTTTTCGATCCGTTACCTTGATTTGGCCACATGCAACGGAAAGTCTCGCCAATGATAGGGTTGTATGGTTTCTTCAATCCCTGGAAAAAAAATGAAAGGTTAAGAACATAGTACTGGGTCAAGCAATGTCACGCGGGACACAACATAGACAAGTACTCTGAGATCTGCAGGGTAGTGAGATCTGATCTGCAAAGTGACCGGAGAATCTAGAAAAAACCGGAGAATCTGCCAAGAGACCGGAAAATCAACTAAAAGACCGGAACAACAGTCAAGAGCCCGGAGAATCAGTAAAGTGACCGGAGAATTAGCCAAGGTACCGGATAATCTGCCAGGGGTCAAGATAATATGATTCTTTAGAAACATATAGCATCAATATTGAAGTCTGGTTCCATACAGGATACCTATTTTAAAATAACTTTGTTATCATTTTTTTCTATAGTTGCCTGAAAGCACATCAAGTTAATAAGGCTATCAAACGAGGAATTCAAAAATTTGTCTAAGTTATAAGAGTAGCCAGTTTCAAGTAAAAACACCTGCAGACAGGATTTGCTTTAAATTGTCAGACAAACGCAAAAGGCATAATTAAAGGGACTTACGCAATCTCTACTTAAAATTAAATTTTTATGATTTCTTATGTAAACTTTTGCAAAAATTGGGTTTCTTGAACATCGTGATTAAAATCTCATTAACCTATTTCTCTTAAGAAAACTGTATTTAGATAAATTCCTCTTTCTAAAGGCCGTTTGTTTTGCATCAATCAACATTCAAATTAAACATCCACTGATTAAAAATCACATCATCAATGCCGATTAAGCAATTTTGCCATTTAAACACAGTTGCTTATAAGTCATCATGATGTGCTCTTGATAAAACGACAAGAAGAGCATCAGGATTCAGACTGCATCTAGAGTTTGGTAAATAGAAAAGGAAACAGAGAAGCTACGAGATAACAGAATTAAAGAATCGTGCATGGTTGTTGTGAAACAAATCTACAGCAAAAAAAATGAAGAAGAATTTGACAATTAACATTCATTTTGCCACTCATCGACCAGGGAATAGCGTTTACTGAAGATCATTAGCTCCAGTTAATCACACGTTCCTGTTAAGCAAACGTTCCAGTTAGCAAACGTTCCAGTTAAGCAAACGTTCCTGTTAAGCAAACGTTCCAGTTAAGCAAACGTTCCTGTTAAGCAAATGTTCCAGTTAGTCAAACGTTCCAGTTAAGCAAACGTTCCAGATAAGCAAACGTTCCAGCTAAGCAAACGTTCATTAAGCAAACGTTCCAGATAAGCAAACGTTCCAGTGAAGCAAACGTTCCAGTTAAGCAAACGTTCCTGTTAAGCAAAAGTTCCAGATAAGCAAACGTTCCAGTTAGCAAACGCTTCTGTTTCGCTGTTTAGCAGCAGAATGAACTTCACTTCTGCATCTGTCTCCGCATGTCGCAGCTTTTTCCCAGATATTTCTTATTTACCTAAGTCTCAAAGACTGACAATTTTCATCTTTCAAGCTTTTCTAATACCAATTACTTTAGTTTCAAACAGTGTCGTGCTGATGGGCCTAACCCGAACCAAATCATCTGGCTCAAAGTTGTTGATTATTTCTCTATGCATAACAGACCTGCTGGTAGGAGCTTTATTATTGCCTTTGATGTGCGCTCATCAAATATCATCCACGATGCAAACAAATTGCATTGTCAGGTTCGCAGTACTGTCTTTGTCCTTCACCCTTCTAACATTAGATTTTTTAATCGCCCTAGGAATCGGCATCGAACGGCTTATAGTTTTAAAGTATCCGTTGCAACACTGGTTCTTTCGATGGGAATCTGCTCGTAAGTACGTCTTGCTGTGTATGATTTTCTTTACATTGGCTAAAGCATCCGCCACTGTTCTTGTAGCAGAATACAGGGGAGATGCCAAGATATTCAATTTTTTGACTTTAGTGTTCTTATTAGTTTCTTCTGCAATTCTAGTGAGCTCGTACTCGATACTCTACCGCCACGTTCGAAACAGTGTGAACAAGTTGTACAACGGAAATGACAACCATATACAGTCCAGATCTAAACAACTCAGGCATGATATGGCCTTAGCAAGATCTGTTACCGTCATTCTTTGTTTCCAGCTTTCAATGTGGACACCATATTTTACTGCTTCGTTAATTTGGTTTTTTCGAAAATCCAGTGATGAACAACTAACAGGGCATACTCTATCCGCATTAATTTGGACATTTTTGCCTTTGTTCACAAATTCAAGTGCAAACGCATTTATTTACTCTTATTACAATAGGCCGTTAAGGCAATACATAGTGGAAACATATTCCTTTGTGTTTCGATTTATTCCAAGAAGAAGAAAGACGAGGAAAATTTCCAAGGAACAGCGAAGCACGAAAAAAACTAAAGAAAGCAATGTTTAGTCTTGAAGAGATTTTAGTACAACTACAAGTACAGCCCGTCAGAGGCTCTTGGATTGGGAACGCGTGTGCAATTTAGTGTTCAGATGCGATTGAAGAAGCCAGAAACTTTCATCCCCTATAACTACATGTGGCCTGTCCTTATCAAAAGCTAAATGAGGCTTTTTCTCATTTGAAGCTACATGTCGCCTGTCCTCATTCCAAGCTGAATGCGGCCTGTTCTTATTTCAAGCTAAACAAAGTGTACCCTTACTTCAAGCTAAATGAGGCATGTCATCATTTCAAGCTACATGTGGCCGGTACCTAACATTCAAGTTCAAGCAGGCGCAATGAAGTTTCTTTCGTATTCAGTTCAAAAGTAAATTTGTCTACGAAGTTATCAATAAGCTGTAACTACCAAAAATGGGTCCACATCTGTTGCTACGTCACAGTTAACTTGGATGTTCATTGTTATAAACACAGGGACAAGGACACCTCCTGACAATGGACACCCAAAAGGGGATAAATGCAGCCCCAAAGTATTCATGTAGCGATATCTTCGTTGAGGTAGCCAGACAATGGAAACTTTCTACATTAAACAGTTTATGGACGGTACTAGACGGAGTATTTTCGAAACTTCAAGGGTCAATCACTACAAACAGTCCAGCATCTTGGTTCCGAATTTTAGCATGTCATCCTCCTGCGTAAGGTATCTAGCTTGCTACTTAAGATAATTGAAATAAAAACCTGAGACATTGATCAATATTAACAAACTTATGATCAGTTCTTTACTATCTTCCATTATTAACAAAACTTTGTTGATATTTTGAAACATAGCAAAAAGTAAGTAAGTACCTAAATTTAACTTCGACACAGATGTTTGTCAACTTAGCGATACTAACTGCCCCTTGAACATAAACTGGCCTATTTTCCCGAGGTCTGCAGAATCACAAGTGATGGCGTGTAAAATTCTTACGGAATTGACAAAATAAATCACCTTTGGTTTCTTGTAAAAGCCCGATAGATACCACTTGACAACTTCTTTTATCCTTATGTAAGGGTCTTCTTCGCATGCAGCCCTAGAACAATTACAAAAGGCGGTTGTGAATTATGATGCGGACTGATACTAAGTATAAAAATGCATTGCATAGAATGATGTCACACATTTACAACAGAAATATCTCGTCTCTCATCAACGACGGATGTCGAGATAAGAAAACTATTTAGTAATGATAGCAATGAAATATATCTTAACTAGGAGAGACAAGCTGGTGAAATACTCTATTGTTTAAGGATAATTTTTATCAGTTAACTGGTAGATGATGCTGAAAATAAGCAATCCATTCTTTTTTAGTTAACCGATTCGTCGTAGCAAATGGTAGAATATTTAAATATCAAGAATATCAAGAATAGATGTGCCCTGAAAATGTTACCTATGTTTTTTGATTAAACATTTTACCAAACATTTTACTCAACTTCTGTTTAGTGAAGTTAAGCGAAGTTTAGCGAGGATGGCAAAACGTGACTAAATATTTCACTAAACTTTACTCAAAAGAAAACTATTTAGTAATAGTAGCAATGAAATATATCTTAACTAGGAGACACGTGTCAACGATTGATTATAGAATAAAAGAACTATTTAGAAAATTGCAATTGACCGCCTCTTTCATATATGGTATGCAGACATTTGCATATTTACAAAAAATAATTAATTATTGAAATATATCTGCATAATTAAAGTATAATAATGTTAATATATGCTACATAATCACAACACAGGATACAAGTATCGTTAGTGTTTATTAAGAATTCCAAATGGTAGAATAGCTACATAAATATGCATATAAAAAACTCTCCATAATGAGGCATATTCAACTTTTATAGAGAATATTAATTGCTAGAAAGTTCGAGTGAGTGTCTATAGAACAGCAACTAGTTGTTTGAGAACACAGAGAGTTTTAAGGAGTCAGAGAACACAGAAATTTTAAAGAAACTTTTAGTTATAAAATCTGTCGGTTTTCAAAACGTCCAGCCCAGCAAAATTACTGAAATTTCGCATAAATAATGCTAATTATTTTACAACAGTAGCAATAAATTTTAATTCATGAATCGTTATAAACTAGGCAGTATTTTAAATGTAATAAATGAAAATAATGTTAATTTATGATGAGAAGCTACCTACTTACTTTCGGAGATCACATGGATAATAACTTCTGATTAGAAATTCATGATAAATCATGCCAATCTTAGGCCAGGAGTCGTGGTGTACTTAAATCGTTTACCAGGCATATAATGCACTGGTATAATCTATGTTAATTTATGTTAATTTACTACACGTATTGCTTCTTACTGTGCAACGCTATTAGCATTACTGTGGTACAACTTATGTTAGATTTTAATTAAAACAGGATCTTTGATGTACTTTAGCAGTTTATCAGGAGGTTTATGTAATATTATGATTTATGATAACTCATGTTAATTTACCACATGCACCGTAACTTACTTTGCAAGGTAATCTGCATGATAATAATAGTCTGATAATTTATCCAAGAACGATCTCGGCTCCAGAATAAAGGTAGGCAGCGTGACTTTGGATAAATCCATGCCAGGTCGAACCTACGATAAAGCACGAGGCATTCACTAGACACGACAATAAGGTAAGACCATGGTTTGACGTTAAAATGACGCAGGTCGTACAAAATATAGGAAAGGAAAGTAACTCAGAACTCCAAACCACCCGTACGTTTTGCTTGGAGAGAATACAGCGACAGAGTGCACAAACTAAACAGACCATAAATATACGGGAACTTCCCAGAGTCAAATAAAGCGATGCTACAGTCTAAAAGGCACGTGATCAAAATGAATTAGCCAGTGGAAATATAGAAATGTTTTTGGAAACAATTGTAGACTTTTAAAGACTATTAAGATAGTTCATATAAACACTTTTTATCTTTGTTTTTTTATCTATCGAAATCACCAAAGCTCTGGCCACTCACTTGGTCACCAAGTAGCAGCCACAAACGAATTGCTGAATGACCAAAACGTAAAAAAAACACTGATTGGCTAAACAAAATCTACCATGTTGGAATGCATAAATTATCTTACCAGAAAATATTGGAGTTTAACTTTATGGACCAAAGTAAATCTGAAGTTCTTTCGAGTTATTTGGAAATTCATTTACCTGCTTGAGTAAAGCCCACAAAATACTTTTATTGTCCTCCTCCATTTCTTCAACAGCCTCTCCTTCCTACAAAAGAATGATGCAATCGTGAGTAGTAGAATTAATATGAGCCACGCGAAATGCGTTATTCCGATATATATGTAAACAATTCTCGTTAAACTTATAGCAGGATACCAAGGATTGTAAGATGTCATATGCCTCTCGATGGTCTTGACGATTTAAGATTAGAACAAGATAAAGTAGGGATGATAATTGCAGGAAATTTTGAAAACTATTTTTGGTGACATAATTCAGGTTTGGGAAACTTTTGGAAGTGTCTTCTATTGTAGCGAGAGCTGAAAATTGCAGGTTTCAGACAACAGTGCAAGAAATAAAAGAAGGGAATGAAACCAATGTATGAAGGTACATAAAATACACAAAATTCAATAAGTACAAGTAGTTAGAAAGGGCGATTTTAGGCATATTTGATTAGATGGAGAAGGAAGAAAGATTGTCAGTGTGTCGAGTATAGGAAAACAAGGAAATATCAGACACTGTATGGATTTTCCTGGAACTGCTTAGGAATACCTAGAACTCACCTCGCCGAGATATTCGATTGTAGCTACCGAGTATTCAGATTCTTCATGAGGCTCCATTTCAACTGCATGGCTGAACACTGAAAGGCCAAGACCAAACCACAAATGATGAAAATATCTAAGGAGTCCTTATAATTACTCAAGACTCAACAATCACCCAAGAACATTGGTAAGTCAGATGGCGCCTCACATCTGGCTGGTGAATAGGACTTTCAAAGAGGGAAATCCTTCAGCCTTAGAAACTGTTTTACAGGGTAGCTTCAACAATTCATCAAACAGCAACATCCCCTTGTTGCAACCCCTTTATTAAGTGGCAGATGAAGCATATAGTCTGCATTTTTCAAGCATTTAGTTAAACATACTAAGATATTCTACAAGTAAAAGCAAAATTTCCTTACCATAGATAGATTGTATGCATTAGGCATCACTACATAACAATTAAACACGATTCCAAATCCTTCAGTTGTAACTTGGAAATAATAATCTGACGAACATGATTTTTACTTCCGCTTCCTTATTGAACATGATAGTTCTTAGAAATACCTTATCACTTACATTCTTCGTTTTCAGCTTTATCAGAATGGTCATTGTCATCGATGCTTGAAACATCATCTGATTTCTCCTGCACAAATGTAGGAACTTTTGATCATAAATCCATCAAAAGAACTTATTGTAGCTAGCAGCTTTATGAGTTACGTAAGTACAAATAAAATGCCTGCCAAAAGTTTTGGAACAAGAGGAAATTCAACCATCTCTCTCTGCCCCTTGGAAAAGTATTGCTTCACGGTAAAAAAGAAAGGGAATTAAGTTTTTCCTGTGAATTATATGACACCTTTGTAAACTATCAACATTATTCTGGAGTGGGGGGGGGGGGGTGTGGAGGCGATATTTGGGGAAAGGAATGTAAAAATAGAAAAATGTGATGCAAATTTCTGGGTGCTTCAAATTGTACTTTTGGCAGGGGTTTGAGCTAGAAATTATCATTTTACATTAATGTTATTGAAAATCAAACCTGGAGTTTGAATCAGGAAAATCAAATCAGACAATCACAATTAAAAAATCAGACAGCAAAATTCAATAGAACAAAATCATTTCACAGGAACAAATGTGCAATGAAATATTATGTATTGTTGGCGCACATGGTCACTTCATTTCGAATATACTGGAACCTAATAACTGACGTCATTATTGCTTATGACTGATGTCAAGAAGATTTCAAGTCACATCTATATTATAAATTTTTAAACAGAATACGTCAGTATTTGCTCTTCTAAACATTCGCCCTAAATATTTGAGCCAAGATACAAGCTGATTCGGAATGAGAAATGCTTTGATATACAGTCATTTTTGATGATGTATTTATGCCCCCCTTTGAGCTTTGTCTACGCTGGTGTCACACAGATTTCAAGTAACATCTACATTATAAATTTTCAGACATCATTTATGTATATTTTCTAAGCAAGTGAAGATATTTTCGTTACTTACAGCAGCAAACGCATCTTCGTCATGTTCATCGTCATTTCCTGAAACAAGTTGAATTTTTCGTAACAACGATGCTCTATATATAAATGTGTTGTGAAAAGCTTCAAACAAGGCTTTGATTTTGGAATATGGTGCAGAAATGCTCTATTCCCTCTCATCTAAATACACTACGGTCTATAATTTCGGATGCCCAGGGAGAAAATTAGGCAGATCAGACGATCTGAACGTGAAAGAAGCTGCTTCTTAACGCATCAATTAAAGCTTAACTCTAATCCATGTTAACTGCCAAATATACCAGACTACTAGCCTTAGTTTTTACTGTTCAATGGACAATGATTACAGGGAACTAGGACATAGAAAAACATAACTGCAAAACGAGCCTAAAGCTTATAATAAGAAGGGACTCCAGGATAATATAAAATATTTTCATAAAGAATACGTCAGAAATATGCGGGAAAACGCGAGAAAAACTCGTGTGTATAAAGGCTGTCGCTTAAAGTATAAAACAGCCCTCGATCTTTAAACCTATTGCTGTTGGATCTAATAACGATTTGCTGATTTCAAAACATTTAGATATGAGCTCCAGCTAGATTTAAACAAAGAAACTGAAACTGCATTAAATGTCTTTACGAAACCAACAAAAACTTTGATCATACCTAGCTCTGAACCATCTTTTCCGCCATACAAATCACTTATCCTATAAACAGAGGAATAATAAATATTGATAATTGTTTAGAACATTTAACAGCTGATATCATTACCCTGAGTTTGACCATTATTACGTATAATGTGGCGTCCAATGTGGAAAGGGCTTAAGAATTTTTTCTATGTACATATTCTGTATTTAACTGTGATGTATTATTTTAATGTAGTATATGTATATGCAGTAGTATAAATTGTTATTAGATATTTTTAGGTCTATGTCCAATTCCAGGGGGTAGTCATGTTATATTGCTCCTCCAAGGTTCCGTCCTTGTAATGTTGTTTAGTACTTCGCCGTGTTTTGATTAATTTTTTATTGTAAGTTTTCACACTGAATAGAAAAAAAGCTGAAATTATCTAAGGCAATTCTGAGTTTCATAAAGAGATCTTATTCATAACTCTGTGCTTAAACTGTCCCTTTTGGTTAATGAAAAAATGAGGTCGGGATGAAGGTTAATATAGGCCAGAGAGAGGAATATGAAGAAAACGACAAGAATGGAAAATAAGAAAAAACAGTACAAGGAAAAGAATAAAACTTACATGACTTTCTCTGGGTTGATAAAACTCGATTTCTGTGCAACTTCTATCGCATCCATCCAGCAGTGACCTGAAAGGCACGTGATCAAAATGAATTAGCCAGTGGAAATATAGAAATGTCCTTGGAAACAATTATAGACTTTTAAAGACTATTAAGATGTTCATATAAACACTTTTTATCTTTGTCACCAAGTTCTTTCACTTGGTCACCAAGTAGCAGCCACAAACGAATGGCTGAATGACCAAAACGTAAACAAAACACTGATTGGTTAAACAAAAACTAATGTTGGAATGCATAAATTAAATACGATTTAAAATTACATACAATCCCTTCCAACGATCTTACAACTGGCCTAAACGGCAGATATGTTGCAAGTGTCACAAAAACACAGCAAAATACTACTACAACAATAATAATTAATCATTTTAAATAATTACTTTATAGTAACCAATCAAAGTCTTAATGCATTTTCTAGTAAATTTATGCATAGAGGGTTAAGCAATTAAATATCTCACCCATTGATATCGTTGGAGCACGAAGAATGAGGTGATCCCTGGGCATTGGCTGGGCTAACGAGCCAGCAATCTCTCCTTTTGGACCCTGGAAAGAAGTTATAAGATAAAGAAAGGTCGGAAGATAGAATACGTATCGTTAGATGAATTGACTTCAAAACACAAAAAGAAACTAACTGTGGTTTTGTTGTAGAATGATGGCAATGTAATGCATGTAATGCCGCAAAGACATCCACATGCAATTGAACAATCAATTGAACAAGCAATTGAACATGCTACCACAATCTTAAAATCACATACAATGCCTGCCAAAAGTATTTGGAACACCCAGCAATTTACGCTGAATTTGATATCTTTCGTTCCTTTCATGAAAAAAAATTGCTACTTCCGCCCCCTTCCCCCTAAAACAATGTTGATGATTTAGAGAAATATCATGAAAGAAGCGCAAAAGAAAGTGTTTCCTAAAATCCTAACCTGTGTGATAGTAAAACAACATTGTTCTGTAAGGGAGAGGGGGATGATTGATCTTGACCTTGGAAATTGATGTCAGTGTTCCAAGACTTTTGACAGGCATTGTACCATCTATGACTACAATGCTTGTCAAAAGCCTTGGTACATTCATTTCTAAAGACTATGGTACACTACACTAAATTTTTTAATATTCTATACTACCTCCTCTCCATCAAACAATGTTGTTTTATGCAAACTTAAAACGTTCGGTGTGAAATGGATTCCTTTCAGACTGCTATGACGTTTAATTCTACAACAAGCATTGCTTTTAGGAGAAGGAGTGTGGTGCCGGTCTTCAATACAGAAACAGTGAATCTTTCTATAACAACAACTAAGCAACAGGGCTTACAAAGGGGTTTTGGCAGAGATTGCATGTTTCTTAAATGTATGATATTTTTTGATCTTTATAAATACATTCTTTTAGGAAATACATTAGGAAATAGGGGGTTGCGGGAGAGTGCGGAGGAGGAGAGGAGAGAGGAAGACTTCCTCCCTTCTCTCTTCCTCCGCACTCTCCCGCAACCCCCTATCACACTTGACGCTCTGGAACCCAGGGTATCAAACGGGTTGATTTCAACACTTATCACAACACTTAGTAGTTGTTGGAAGCTGACCATAAAATAAAAAGCTTACATCTTTCAGTTTAAAGGGAATCGACAGATACTCGAGTTACTCAACTTATCTGCCAATCAACACTGGCCAATCACTAAGCTTGATACAACTGATTGATTGGCCAATAGTCGACTGAGATTAACAAAACGAGCTGTACATGCTGGCATACCAACACAGAACGCATATCCCAGACATTTTTTTATCATTATACAACGTTTTATAATCGAAACAGTATAAAAAAGGACAGCATAATTTCCTGACATATGCTAAAAATATTTTGATACAATGCTCCCTCTCTTATAACACGAAGAATTGTACGCCACTGATCTTCTTCACATTAAGAACCGAATGCCACCCATTGGTAAAATTCATAAATTACTAATAACTTAAAATAACAAGAAAATAATCAAAACGTTAAATCAAATTAAATATTTAAAGAAATGGGTCAAAATGAAAAACAAACACAAAAATTAATCATTTAATTGCAAATTTATTTTATAATAGAAATCATAAAAATGGTGTATTTAGAAAATAAATTATATCGTCGGCTATCAAAATTATGCAAATAGATTCGAATAGATTCAAGTATTTTTAAACAGTTTTAAAAATTTATCAGTTCATCACCATCAGTTTATCGTGAGTGAATTGCCCCCAGCATAATATATACATCATTGTTCCCGCCATATAAAAAAAACTTAAATATGTATCATGTGACTTTTTCACAGTTAATCCAAACTGACGTAGCTCGGCAGAGCGAATATTGATTTGAGAAAAGAAATGAATCACACCACAGAAATCATAGTTATTGATTTACGCAACATTCGGTTTGAGTGGTTCGGATTTCCAAAACAACGGGCCTACCGTCTGCTCGCATACTTTGTTGTTGTTTATTATCCAGCGACACACAGCCAGTTGCTTACGAAATCGCTCTCTACGATCCATTAGCGAGTCTCTCTCTTTGCTTCTCTGATAAATTTCTCTAGCTAAAAGCCAGCGTCCAACGCCTTACTGAAGTTTTTGAACAATAAAACAATTTATGACTGTACGCTCTTTCATACACACAATTATTTGATGATACTTGTGTGTACGAAAGATGATACTTGATGACGAATATTCCTTTCAAGCAATCAAAACAAACAACTTTTTACACATTAATCTCGAGAGGGTAGTTAAGCTGTTAATGGACTTTGTGACCATTAAAATCCATACTGGCTGAAATAAAACATTCACAGACGGGATGTTCATTGTAGTAAAAGGGTTTAGCGGATATCGTTTTTTACTCGCTGGAGGACAATAGTATCAGCCCTGAACAAAATATTCTCCATTGCGCTAAAGAACCCGCCATATCGCCAGCTCAACAGTTTTCCCGTGCAAGTTTGGAACGTGACAAAACTGTCGCGGTTCGCCCTTGCGTTTACACTAGCATTGTGGAACCTAGACGATTTTGCTCTGCTATCCGGAACAGTTTTGTTCCTGCTTTGAAAGCGAACGAATTCTGTACCGTCAAGGTTCCGTTTTAGAACGGGACAGTGTAAATACCTATCCGGGACGATTCTGTCACGGATTCACAATGAGGTCTTTTGTATGGCTAGTTCAGGTAATCGAGGCTTTGATTTAGGACGATTTTTTAGACGAGGGAATTGTCAAGATGGCTGTCGAAAATTCAAATTACGATTTCAAATTCCTTATCGCCATGTTAAATCAAGTGGCAGCGATCGCTGGGCTGAATGTAATCTATTCAGCAGCCATTTACGATGGTTACCGCCGTCTTCGAAAAAAAGAAAAGAAAAATTCTGAAGAAAAAAGGACGACTTCGAAGATTCTGGACAGTTTTGTCTTCGTACTTATTTATTGTTGTCTCCAAGTCCAAGCCTTGATTGCCTCGGTTGACGAAATATAGCCCCCTTTAAACGATGTTCTACCATTGAATTTAGGTCGTACCGGTACAGTGTAAACGAAACGAATAAACGGAACAATTTGGAACTGCGACAGTGTAAACACTTGCGAACCGTAACGGTAAAAAATTGTCCCAGGACAGTGTAAACGGGGTTTATGTCAAAATTCGTCGGTTAATACGTACGTCAAGACAGGTGTGCCGATTTCATAGAGATGGCCGATTTAAAAAGTTAGGAAGGAGGGCTGTGCTGAAGATAACTTCTAGAAGCCATACCCATAACCACACCCAATATACTATACTGATAGAAGAACGCTCTTTGGCACAAAATTAGTGGCATTATTGAAGGTTAACAACGCAGAATTCGTCAAAGCAAATATCTGTTAGCTTTTTAAGGGAGGGGAGGCTGGGGGCTGACCCCCAAACTCTATCTAAATTTTAACAGGGGCTGATCCTTCACAGCCCCCTTGCAAGGCACCTAGGTATCAGATGCTGTAAAAAAGCTTTCATTGCCATATAATTATTGCTCTCACAAACTTTATTTGGAAAAGCAACACTGAGTTGTGTTTAATACTCTGTTGATTAATTTGTCAAACTCCAAATGGAATTCCCGGCATATGTTCAAAACTCTAATGACGTCATCCGGAGTATCATCAAATTTTTCTGTCCCAGGCTCCGTAATAGCAACTGCCATTTACAGTAGACTTATGCAGGGCCGCCGAGAGGCGGCCTGGGCCCTGGGGCAAAGTCTCAGTTGGGGTCCTAGAGTCGGAGACAAAAAAATTTTGAGACCACGCCCTTTATAAAATGGGAAACGCCCATTATTTCCAAACGTTTGCGCACGTTTGCCTTTTCAGTTGCAAATTGATCAATGATATTGTCGTAATCAATTTGTCTTGCTAGTTCGTGCTCGATCGAAAGAGTCACGAGGCTTGATACTCTGTCTTGAGTCATTGTTGAACGTAAGCGGTTCTTTATTAATGCTAGTTTGCTAAAAGGGGCCCCAACAATATAATATAGCTTTATGCAACGAGTCTAAATGCAAACATAACTCACTTGAACGGGCCATAGATTAAAACAAGATTATATGGGCTACCTAATTTTTTATCAGGGCTCCCTTCCCCCAATAAGTACGATTTTGCGAAACTCAGGAAAACTCAGCTTAAAAGATGAATCCGTAAAATATGTGATCTAAGGTTTAATCAGCTTTTCTCGGGGCCCCGGACTCAATAAATAAAGCTGATAGGCCTTAAATTCAAACAAGACTCAGTGTACAGACCCAATGAAATTACTGCCATCATTTTCGATATTAACAAATATATTTTTAAATGCATTTTCAGTTTCTCAAAAGGAGACATTTTAAAAAAATTTTCAGAATAATTTGGGGGCCCCTTCCAGGCCGAGGCCCTGGGGCAAATTGCCCCCCCCCTGCCCCCCCCCTTTCTGCGCCACTGGACTTATGATGCTTAAAAAGAGTCTCTCGCCTGCATGAAAAGCTTACGAAAATACCCAAGATAGATTATCGCAACCAACATTGATGCTCGAAGTCATTCCTAAGCAGCCAAGATCTCGCACAAAGACCAAATTCATTAACAACCATAATCTGAAATAACTGTACTTGTTAAATATTGAAGGTAAAGGAGGAGTGTTATTCCTACCTTTGTACTCCATATACTTTCTTTGAGTGGATGAAACAGCTTGAAACAGTAACCCTCCTTAGACGATGGCCGTTCTATGGCTTCACAACATGCAAGGACCACAGTTCCTACCCAATGATGATGCTGAAAAGATCATTATAATAATCATGTAATGTAATTGATGAAATGAGGATAAATATCTACACGCAATGTCTCATAGAAAAAGAATGAAGTACAGAAAATGGCTCCATTCCTTGCAGCAGCTTGGAAAGTCCTGGGGCTAGAACGATCATTTGCAGAAGCAAGGGTTTCGTTTTTACTGAAAAACAAAGCTGGCTTAAATATGGCAATGTTGCTTAATATAACGTAAAAAGCTTCAGTCTTCCAATTTATTCTTGCCAGGCAGCTTTGATAACTAACATGTTTGGGGGGAGACGACGGCTAACAGTTTATCAAAAGACTTTGGACACGGTACATTTGCTGCAGGAGTCTATCAAGCAGATATCCGTCGAAGCCATCTACCTCTGCTCTGACATGACTTCTGACAAGCATATCTGACGGCCGTCATCTACCGCCGTCATCTACCGCCGTCATCTACCGCCGTCATCTACCGCCGTCACCTACCGCCGTCATCTACCGCCGGCATAAAAAATGTACCGTGTCCAAAGTCTTTTGATTGACAGCTAACCGTCGTCTCCCCCTACCTTGATCTTAATATTATGGAACTTAATATAAACTTATTATAAATCTTTTTTAACTTTTCATGGCTTTACAAAATATGTTCGAGTTCCCCGTTTACTAAGAGCACAAGTTTTTACAGATAAAATTCTTTGAAAGGACGCAAAAATCTTTGAAAGATTCTTTGAAAAACGCCATTGACAAAACTAACTGCTTTTTGACGGTTTTACAATGAATCAACTTTGATAACAAAACATGTCAAAAATTTAAGAGCGTATGGTATATTCATCTCTAGGAAGTTTAAACGCGCATCTATTTAGCAATTTATCCATATATCTATTTATCCATACATTTATTTATTTTTTTGTTTGTTTCTTTACCTATTCATTTAAGGATATTTGCTTAAAATAATTTTCGTACAGACTTTTTTCTAAAAAAATTCCTAAATCTTGTTTCCCTGTGTTTGTTGCCTCGAGATTTCAAGCAATGGAAAACAAGTTAAGGTACATTTGTCAATCGCAACCTCAGCCAATTGACATATTATTTGTGTCTTATGATTTGTGAAAGTCATATTCAATACCTTATTGCTTTTGTAAATAACGAGCCAACCAGGTTTCACAACACACCAGAACTTCGCCCAGCTCTTCAATGTTCCTCTGATCTGTAGAGCAGTAGGGAATCGTATAATCACAGTCAATAAAAGACACAAGCAAAAGAATCCAGTGTTTGGCTAGTAGATAGCTGTTCGTTCACAGGAAAGATACAAAAGAAAAATATAGAACTTAAAAACCAACGACAATGAAAAGAAAAATGCAAAGAAACCAACAAAGTGGTTAAGCTAAGGAAAAATTGATAAGTAAGAAATTTATATAAATATAATCCAGGAGAAAATATATCCAACAACACAGAATTTTTGAACACGAAAAACGCAAACTTTTACCGAAAGTTCACTGCTGGTGGAACTGAGGGCGAAAACTAGACACATGGGGGCGAAAGGACCAGGGTAGCATAGGACCATTTATCACATTTTTAGAGGTCCAATTGAACTGTCTTTAAATAAAAAGGATGTTTTTTCACTTTACAGTAATTTCACTTACAGCCAGAAGTCTTTAAACAACTTATTAATAACATTTTGAATGATATGCAGATACCGGTAGCACAATGATCCCCTCCTCTTCCTTTATTTATCTCTCCCTCCCCTTCTAAAATCCAGAAAATATTACCCGTACCTTAAGCCAGGAAGACAAAATAACGACACTTCTGTCCTTCAATGCTGAAGAGACTTCCTTGGCCACTCTTCTTTTTTCTTTCTTGTATGTTTTCTTTCGATCCTATCATGAAGACAAAAAAGGATGAAACTTCAATCCAAAATTGCGAAATTTGAGCGCAAAAAACTTGGCACTATAATGATACCTAAAAAATTCTAAGGGTACAATCAATCGTATGCTTACCATTTTGAAAAAAGGTTTCAGTTGATATGAATAAATATGCGTGGAGCTTGTTTACAAACTCTCGATACCTCACTGTTTAATTTTACGGTAAAAGGACCTCAAGCTGTACTTGACATTCTCAAAAAGCATAAAACAAAGCAACTTCATACAACAAAAATAATACTGCTGTTTACCGCCTAAGCCTCAGTTTTTACCATAACAACATCACTGCCAAAGTACAATACAATCATATAAAATACAGATCCGCGAGACACGCAGCATAAGCGCAGTTAATCTGCAGAAATGTGTAGAAAAGTCGCTTACCTTCATGTCGATTTTGCTCCCCGACTTTGGTTGACTTCTCTCTGCATGAGACGGCGACTAGGAAAAAAATGATTGAATGAAAATGAGGCAGTTGTCATAACGAGTTACAGCTAAAACGCGAGGCTCAGTAACACTATAGCAATTATGTGTGGTTTTGCAGTTTTAATAAATGAAGTCATTCAATGAATGAGTTTTAAAGTCAATCATATATTTGGCTCTCATAAATGCTCTTTGCAGTGTTATGAAGGATTATAGCGACTAAACATAGCTATGAAATACAAGAATCTTTAAACGAAACATATTTAACTACAGGATAAAATCATTTGAATAGAGAAGAGACCTGATCGTAAAAAATTGCAACCGATGGAGCAAATAGTAGTAGGACAAAATAAGCCCTATCTCGTTTCTTTTTCTTACGTGTAAATTTTCTTTTTCTTTTTCTTACGTGTCAAATTCCACTTTGTCAATAGTAGCAAAGTAGGAACAGCTTTTAAATATGCGTAATAAAATTAAATTTGGGTTGCTTGGTGTTTTCAGGTTCATTCAAAAAAAACTATCTCGTTTAAGATTCAGTTAAAAACTTATTAATATTGATGATAACTAAACATTTACAGATGAAAAGTTCAAGAGATTGCATTTCTGAGTTGACAAAGAAGCTCATTCAAGGGATTTGCTTGAAAGAAATTGACCAAAAAGCTCTTTCCTTTGTTTCTGTTAACAATAAATATCATTTTCTGTCTTGCAGTATCAATAATAAATACTGCATGTTTTCTGCATGGTTCAAAAACTGAAGCACCATTAACGTATTTGCGCGGAACGAAAGGTACCACTACCTCCTTCACAATTCTGTTAAAAGTTACTTCGCAGCAAACCAGTTAAGTAACTGCGCAGCAATCCGCCGAGTTTCTGCGCAGCTACAATGAGTAAAAACCATTGACCTCAAAAAAGACTTGGGTCCTTTTTGCGATCAGATGTAAAAACACCTTATACCTCCACGAGAGGAGCTAGTTAGACATAACGCTGTAGGAGCCTTGGTTAGTTAACAGTACCGGGCATTGACTGGCCGTTGAATAAAATAAATTCAAAATATCTCTAAGTGAAGCGGACAGAAAACATTAATTTTTGCTGTTTAAGTTTCTGGAGTTCCACATACGTCAATAAAGCATGATCATTGCCAAAAAATAATGAACTACGATATCATGTTTACATTTAATGGAGACAGATGTTGAAATTACTTCTAAATCCTGAATTCTAGCTGATTTAATTGCATATAAATTATTCACACTGTACACAATAAGCTTCAATGCTACCCCTCGAAAAAGCTGATATCAGGTGGCCTTGTCAACTTGAGAGTTATCTGCTGTTGAATTTTCTTTCTTCATCCTAAAATCCCAAGCAAGACAGTGCAGGGGGGTACTTGAGCGAGCTAGGGGGTCAAGCATCCCTTTTCCCAATACAGAAAATCCCCATAAAGAAGAACCTATGAATTTAAGAACAAAAAGACATTTTCTCGTTAACTAACTTGTATTTTTAAAATCTATTTAAGCGTTACAAAATACAAGGTTTTTATTTAAAAGTGCATTGTCCCCTACCCATATTTTCGCAACAAGATAACACTATTACCTTGTATCATTGATCTAATTATTCATAAAAACACACGTTTTAGATAAAAATCTAATTCAAGAACATTTCACTTTGCAAATCCCACATCTATATTTAAAGTAACCCTCGGTGCCAGGGCTGCAAAAAATGAGAACTGCTAACCTTTACGGACACAGTTTTTGCAATTCTGGCACCCAGGGTAATTCTAAAAACGACCAAAGAATTTGAAAAAGACCATTTTCCCCTTAACAATTTTTTGTAACAAACACCACAATTTCTCTGCATCACTGACGAAGTTCCATATCAAAATATACATTTCAGACAAAACCTAATGGATGGAAATTTGACCCTACGTTACTAAACTACGATAAAATAATACCAAAAAAGTAGGTTGCTCTTTGTAGGGACATATTATTAACCTGTCCTGCACACAAAACTTGATCTATTTTGTAAGTTTTTCGGTTAATTTGTCAACACATGGCATTTTTCACACTTCAATTGATTGTATGTATTCTTTTTAAACACAATAGCAGTTCTTTCAATAAAGTATCTCAATATATTTTATAAACAAAATATCGTGCTTGGGCTGAAGTAGTTAACTTTTTCTACCAGCTGAAATCATAGTCACGAAACAGAGTAAGGAAAAACGTTTCAAAATAAGATAATCATGGGTTAGATAAATCTAGAGCTCCGGCTTTTGGGAGGGCCTGGCGGTTCCAAATGAGGGGGAAATGATGGCAATGTATTTTTGCATTACATGCACAAACATGCCAATCTATGGCACAGAACTGGGACTACTAGCCCCTTTGTCCCTTCTTCCGTTGAGTTACATTATGGAACAATGGGAACCACCTATTTCTCATATCTCGAAAAAACTGTTTCAGAGTAAGCAAAACATATTATCGCTAAAGAATATATAATAAATTAAGTGTTATCAAAATAATTGCATCACACTTTAATACTGCCATTGTGATTTTTTTATTGTTTAATCTATTTTCTAGTTTTCTTATTAGAATATAGTTTTGCAGAAAAGGGGATAGGTGACTGTAGGATTATTGTGAAATGAAATAAGTATAGGCAAATCTTTGAACCATAAACACTTCTTATAGAATACCTTAGAATTTCTTTCCTAAGCCACAATGATCTTATAATGTTAAGTTTTCAACTTTTTGAATTTTAATGTATTCTTGAATTATTCTTAAACACTTGCAAATACTTTCAGAGAAAAAAGGGGAAGAAACACTGAAATGTAATCTCTTGCCCAATGGTCTTAATTTTAGTCAAAATCTGAAGTTTAAAAATTGCGATACATAATTCTCAAAATAGTTTGATCCTATCTTTTGTCACAGACCAAGACGAATATTCAATCTAACATTTGGTGCACGCCAGTTTTATCATCACGTTTTATTTATACTTAAATTTTAGTAGTTTTCAGCCTCAATTTTCCTATAAACGATATTCTAATAAACAATTTTGTTTTGTTTTTTAATAAACAGTCTAAAAAGTACATTTTACAAGAGCAAGATTACAAAGACGATGCCAATGGGAGCATGATAGGCATGGCTACCCATTGACCTTAACAAAAAACAATACAGTAGCACCAAAGGCTATACCAAAATCCTGTTTAATAAAAATGTATATAATATTCAATTTAATAAACATGTATATAATAAAAGGCTATAATAAACAAATTTTCATCAGTAGTACATAAAACTCGATGATTCTGAAGTTTAGCTTCAACGTTACACAGTTCTGTCTGAAATGAGTTTTTTGTAAACATGTCAGCGTGCGATTGGAGTTGCCTAGAGTCTTGTAGCGTCATGACCTGGTGTTTGGCGACTAACAAACACATTTAAAAATTGGTGGAAAGCTAGAGACAAAAAGGGAAGAAAGTGAAAAGCTGCAAAATGTCATCAATGCTTGAGAATCTTTTACAACAAATAGGTAATATTTTCACAACAATATTATGCAAAACAAGCTGGGAGCCCGGATGATACATTAAACATACTTTAATCGACTTATTATGACTTGTTAAATCTTTTACTAACAGTGCATGGAAATATTGTCAAGGGTCCTCGAGATTCCAAAACTAAGAAAAGCACCCTTTTTCGTTTACCATGCTGTTAAATTCACATAATTTATTAGCTCTTATTGCAAACTCTTTATCAATATGTTAAGCTTCTAATACACAAAATTCAATATGGCAGGTAGTTTTGCACTTGCATAGTGCGGTATTAAGATTAAAATAGGACGCGCATTCGCAGAAGACAAACAATGATAAAAATTGCTTCAGTCTATAAATTGAAGTTAAAATCTCACCAAAAAGTTCAATTTCTTGTCTGCCATGGTGTGTCGATCAAAAATTGCGAGAAAAAGCAACACGAAGTTACTCAATGCAATCATTATATGCTGATCTTCATCAACCAGCTCTTTCGTTGTTCTTGTCGTTTGACGTCAACAAAATTTCCTCTGTTTTCGTCATCTCGTAAAGTTGACGATAAAGTCACGCTTCTAACAGTGCGCGTCGCGTGTCTTTATTTAACAATTACTTCAGAGTTATGCGAAGGGTATTGTGTAGAGAAACAGTTCAAAATCCACCAAATATCACCTTACTTTAAAACTCGACTAAAATATTTATACAACCTGGGTAAGAGATTAACAATATCATTCTTGCAACCACCGGGAAAATCGCTTGACATAAACAGATTACTTAATTAATGCTTTTGAAGACGGGGGTATAGGATGTGTTCAGCAATTCAAAAAATGACTTGTCTCAATTAATACCCCCAAGTAATGGGGTAGTTATTATCCAGGTTATTTTCCTTTTAGAATCCGAACACGTGTCCACTGCAATCATAATTGCACAAATTGAATCCACTGGCTTCGAAATTTCATGCATACTTCCATTAAAAATTAATAGAAGTTTCATTTTTCTTTCGAAGCCCAACAATAATTTTTGTTCAGCATTATGAGGTGACTTATAAATGAATAAATACTATTTCACTGAAGGATCTCAATGGACAACAAATTAAAGCTCACGGTAAGGTTATTTTCAAAACACTACAGTTCAGTAGACTTCGAAATAAGACGCATATGTCCCCTGTGTTTGACCGATTTATCACATGATCAATATTCAATTAAGTTTCAGCATAATGAGGCTCAATTTGGCCAACCGAAAATTAGCTTTGGAAATTTAACAGCATTGAAGGATTAATAGTGGGAAAAGTGTATATAATCTTTATGAAGATATAAATTAGTATTAAACTTGGTGGAATATTTTAAATCCAGAATAATTGACATTCTGAATTCTCTCCTTGGTCGATTTAAGAAAATCATCAAACTCTTCCATAACAGTTTGCAATATATAGGTTCCTAGGACTCTTAGATTAGATAAATAAAGTTCATGCTGCAATACCGCACAACGCCACACTCGACCAATGGCGGCGCCAGCCACTTCGCTCTGGGGGGACAAAACAAAAAAATTAGGCCACGTTCTTTTAGCACTAGAAAACGCCCTTTTACAAACAAGGAAAGCCAATTTTACCTGAAAGTAACGCCCATAACTAACTGTTGGCTATGTGAAGGCAGTTTGAAAATCAAAGGATGACATCAAAAAATGTACGTTGGCAAAATGCTACCCCTCCCCCAACATTTTCTCATCGGATTTAGATGAAATGCAAAATTGATCCTGCCGAGAACTGGGGGGGGGGGCGTGTCCCCCCAGTCACCCCGTGGCGCCGCTACTGCACTCGAGGTGACACCATGCAAACTTCTATTAATCGGAGGCAAACTTCCAATATTGGAGAGAAACAAGATAAAAGATAGGCAGAGAGAAGCACGTTAAAACGAACTACGCAGTCAACAATGTCGCATGCAGACAGAATATGTAATGCAAAGCCGTCAAATTCCAAAGTTTGAGACTTTGTCTTGGTGAAACAAAAAAACGAACTAGCTTACAAGCCGATTGAAGGATCAACCATATAAGACAATAAAGCGCAAAGGGACCAGAATAAAAGCTCAGAGAGGAAACCAGTTTAGAACAAGGAATGCTTCATTCTTCAAGCCGATACTACATCCTCAAGCTCAAGAAAACCTTGACAGTGATTCGGATTCAAATTCAAGCATTAAGAATCGCGTGAACAAAAACGAGAGAGATCAGCAGCAGTAAAGAATATGGTACTAGCCCCGGAGGAAGGGGGTAACACGGGATGTGCAATTTTGGGATCCCTTTTTCAAGAATGAATCAATTTTGGGGTATCGATTTTGGCAAAACTGGTCACAAACATTGTCAAAAATTTTTGGATTGATCTTTAGCATGTCCTAAAATTTTTGGGTATCATTTTTAAACGAAAGGTAATATGTTTTCATTTTCTTTATTGAATTGCTGGATTATTGCAGATTTGAATTAAATTAAAGGGTATGCATTTCATACTGTATGTAAATTTTGGGGTAGGGTTTTTGGAAGATTTCTTTAAGGGAATGTTTTCATTTTTCAAAATGCCACATCCCCATCCTCTGCCTGTTGAAGTTACCTCCCCTCCGTGTACAAGACTAACTTTCTCCATCATTCTATAAAAGGGGAAGTGATATAATCAAGTGACAGTTTGTGAAATACTTGGTCCCAAGAGTTTAAGATTAGACTTTGCTTCGATGTAGCGTTTTGCTAGTGAGGTTATGCTTATGTTGGATTCAAGTGTCTTTCTTTGCGTGTGACATCTTAAATTCATTTTTCATTCAAATAAAAAAGTGGGCTTGAAATCCGTATTTCAGAACATATTTTCAATTATGTGAAATAAGAAACGAATACGATGTTCCCCTGTATTCCCAGTTCAAGGTCGAATTTTAACTCATCTAATCAGAAAATCAGAACAAATGTTTCATACAACAATACACATCGGGCCTCAACCTTGAAAATAAAAAAAATCTTAATGGCATGACCAACCTATGAAGAAGAATCAGAACAAACAATATGTTTTTTCTCTTTACGCTGATATTAACAAAACAGAGGAGATTTTATCAGCTCATTAACTGAGCTACTAAAAAAGGTCGTGCGAAAATGTTGTTTGGTGGAAAACTAATCACATATAGTTGCAGAGAAATCAATTTGGAAATAAGAACAACATAAAGAACACCCGAACCTCGAATTATCAAAATATATCAAAGCATCAAGTCTCGGCCAGAAGTTTTTATTTAAAAAAGAATGTTATTAAGTATTTTGTTATTAAAACGGGGAATCAATTAAACCTAGAAAGGGCGCAGTTCCGTTCTGGTTAGATATTAAAACACCACCACAAAACCGAATCTCTGAATAAAATGATTATTTTTAACAGATTCCTATTAATGTTGAATACAAGTTTAAGCTATTTCACATGGATCATGAATCGGTAACCAAAACGATTTCAAAGAGAACTGAGACTGGCCACCACAAATGACGTCACACAAAACTGACGTTTATTAATTTTAAAAGAAACGATCTTATAGATCTGCAAAACAACCAGAAATCGCCAAGGAGAGATAGGTGTCGCCATTTTCTTTAAGTTAGTGTTATACGGTGCAATGTTTCTTGCAACCTGTCTCGCGATGGTGTTGCAAAATTAATTGCTGCCTGACTGCATCTTGTATCAAAGAAGCAAGTCTCGGCAAGAAGTTTTTATATAAAAACGAATTTAATTAAGTATTTTGTCAGTAAACGGGGAATCGATTGAACTTCAAATTGTAACTTGTCGTTTCTTTGTTGTACAAGAGTTGTCTGAAGTAGAAGAGCAACGATTGCAGTTGTAATCGCGGCCATTACAACGCATAACATTTATTTTTGCAACTTTTTTGAACGGCGAAAATCCATGCAAGTAGAAGAGATCTTTGCAGAGTGGAATAAGCTTTACAAAAATTTTCGGCCCCCAATCAGTTACCACTGAAATGCATGTTGCCTTGATAGAAAATATTCGTTCTTAAAGGTAGAATCCTGCATTTCCAGGGTTTTAAAAGTTTATATGTTTTGCTAAAGCTCCAAACATTATCCTCCGAACACTCAATAACATTAAAACTAAAGAACAGTCATTCAATATTTGCTCAAATGAGAACCCGCATACGAAGAAAAATGATCCTTGGATAATTTATATAAAGAGAAAGACATAAGACTTATCTAACATGCAAAATCTGATTCGAAGTCAAATTGCAAACTCTGCACAAACATTTATACGAAAAAGTTCCCACTGACTTAATTAAGCAAACTCAAGTCACCTAATCGCCTCGAAACATCTTCAACTGAAAATTGTATAAGACAAAAACTATCAAAAATTCAGTTTTTTGGCAGTTGATGTAGACACTATCCAAACAGAACAACTAGCAAACTGAAAATTCATGCAACTACAGCCTGGTTGAGGCTCGTCCATAATATATACATTTGATCATTTCATCGCCTATTCATTCATACACTTCTTTGTGTAACCATATCCTCCTTTGCACACTCACTCATTTATTCTCAATAAACTCTCACATATCAGGGCCTGCCATTAACTGCTTGGCAGTTCTATGACCCAAAACCCACTCTATACTCATCTGCTTTGCTACTTTTTGCTTGCTTTGTTTCATCACTTTTTTCTAACAACAGCTCCTAAACAAAGAAAGTTTCCTTGGTGAAACACTAGGTCTAGGACCCAGATGTCTCAATCCTTGCTATAAAACTCAGAACGGTTTGATCTAAGCTTACGAATAAGCCTAGTAAATATCGAGGGGCAAATCACTTCATGGAAATCTTGTACAACTTTGATTGAAATCCTATTATTTTATCTGGAATCCTTTGCTTTGGTGGAAATCTCTGGAAAACGCTGTTTACAAGAGTGAATTGCCGGTCAGTTTAACCATGGACGTATCACATAAATTCCCTTAGTCCTCTTTTTTATTTTTTCATATCTCTCACCATAAGGTTGCAAAGAATGTAAAAAGATTACTGATCAGATGGTTACAGGTTTCAATTACGGTTGCGCGTCGTGTTTACCATCTCTCAAAACTCATTGCATGAATTATGCTCATAGTTATATTGCTAGAAAGGCACTAGCAGCTGACGTAAAGCTGCTTGATTGATCAAGGATTTTCTGTTGTAATAACGATGATAAGAGAGATTGGAAGTGGCTAAGTTGTTGGAGAATGACTGCCGTGCTGAAGACAGTACGCTCGATTCAGTAGCGGTTTTCGGGACTGCGGGTCCCTGGGCCGAAAACATCTGTAGGGATCGTGATCTTTACAATTTCGGGTCACCCTCTGGCTATAATAAGTGCGGGACCTGGGGCCGAAGACCCCCGGATACCCCTAATACCACTACTGGCTCGATCAAGATTTGATGTTAGTCTTAAAAATGATTACCAAGAGGCAAAATTAGCAGCGAATTCGCGGAGAAATTGCTGGCAACCATATCAAGGCATGCGCAGTCTTTAATTTCTGATTCGCACCGAACCCGCAACAAGTAGAAGAGAGTTCTCCTTTTTCGCATCGGAATATTTCGCCGCAGCTTATAACCCATCACAGCACCATGGCTATCGTTATGGGGAGGGGGTGAGGGTCTGATACCCCCTTGAAAAAACCCCGTTGCAACAACGAGGGAGATTTTCTTTTTTTCGACAAATCAAGGTTGGCTTACCCATGCTTTTTGGGCAAATTGGAAATGTCGACAAAAAACATTGGCAAGGCCTTTAATTTTGAATTTGAAAATCGAATTTTAATATCGCAGCGAATTCCCAGTCTCGTGGAAATTAAATAGAATTTCGCTGTGAAATTAACAACGCTGGGGAGGCTTAAGGCATCGAAGACAAAAGTAGGCCACCCTTCTCAAACTGTTCCTAGTTTAGGATTTGTCCCCTATCAAAGGCATTTTCCCTATATATGCATACGAATTCATCTTCTTTTATTAACAAAACAAAAACACTAATTCCTGCAAGTGTTTAAAAAACAAAGCCACTAAACGATTGCTTGCTGCTGCATGAACCAGATGCAACAACATTTCAAAAAATACCATGCACGCAGTGACCATAATCGGGATAACTGCTCCACGCTCATCAAATTTTTATTACTTCTTTTATAAAATATAACCCACAGATGTAAGTTCTAGGTAAATCATCTTAATGCCACTTACACTAAGCTTAGGAGCTTAAATACGCTTATCAAAGATAAATTAATATACAACCTAGCAGATGGAAGAGCCAATTAACAGGAGGCCATATTGGACAGGAATATATTACAATAAAACCTCAATCTACAAAATATACTGAAACCTTTGAAATAACGGACATCTTCAAACAAGGAGGAATAATGGTAGCCAACAAAATCTTTACAGTTGTCAAAGTATTCAAGAGACAAATTTCAGCCAACGGACACCTCCCCACAAGGGGTACTTCCATATATTGGACAGTTTCTTACAACGGACATCTCCCTACAACGGATACCTCCCTACAACGGACAGATCCATACAGCAGACGAATCGATACAATGGAATTGGCAACAGACATCACTCTACAACTGACACCTCCCTACAGCAGACACCTCTCTACAACGGACATTTTCCTTCAATGGACAGATCCATACAGCGGACAAATGGATACAATGGAATTAGCAACAGTCACATCTCTACAACGGACACCTCCCTACGGCAGACAACTCCCTATAACAGACACTTTCCACAACGGACACTTTCCTACAACAAACACAAA